GTTTTGGATTTTAAGCAGAGGAGGAGGACAAGTTCTGGGAAGCCAGACAGCACATGTTTGTAACTTGTTCATTTTTCTTTCTGTCTTCCTTTTGAGGTTAACTTGAATTATAACGTCTCAGAAAATCAAGAGTGGAGGAAACTCCAAGAAACAAGAACAAGCTTGTTTTAGTGCTTAATGCTTCTTCTTCCAGATTACTCCACAGCTTTTTAATTAAGCTCAGTGCAGGCTCACATCCCAGGAAGATTTTACTTCCCCCATCTTCTGTAACTTTCAGCTATTCAGCAGTCTTCAAGATTCAGTTGACTACAGACTGTCCAAACAAATGAGAATGTTTTATTTGCTGAAGTAAACTAGAACCATCTCTTGTTTAGAGGTTGTTGCTGGCAGGACCCTGGCTGATAAGCCTCAGGTTAAGCCTCTTGTTTGCAAGGTGCGTAGAACTGCATGATGGTTTTGCAAAAGAAGAAAAAGCAACATAAAAGATCTCCGAGAACCACAGCGCAAAAGAGCAAGTATAACTGACACAGTCATTAAAAGACAGATGCAGTAATAGCCCCACAGTTTTCTCTATATTATGTTCCTCTGCAAATTTCAAATCATCCAGCCCTACAAATAAAAATGGATTTGAAAAAGCTTCTCTCTATAGCAAAGTGATCTTCCAGACATTCTGCTGCATAGACAGCCGGCGTCTTCGCACCCCTCCAAATGTCTAAGTGCTGCAGCACCTCTGCCCCACCTCACTCGCGGTGGTGTTTCTCATTTCACAGAAAAGTAACCGAGACACAACGGAGAGACAAGTGACGGAAGCAAGGTCTACAGTAAAACTGTAACAGAGAGGAACTAAAGAAAGGGCCTGCAGCTCCTGGACTGGAGATACGACAGCTAGATCGCCCACCTGTCCCACAGCAGGCATAAGGGAAACAGGGTTGAAACCTTCTAGGAAAAACTAATCACAAACACGAACACAAAAGATCTGCGCAACCTCTATCCCCGGACCCCCCCCCATAACCATCTCAATAGGCATTGTTTAATACACAACTTTCACTTTTATCCCTCAACAGCCATAATATTATTTCCTATAGTCCTAATGTCAAAACAGGCTTACTCAAGTCAAAACAGATTGAAATGCAAGTATTTTGCCCCTCAAAGACAAGCAAACAAACAAACAAAAACAAGAAAACAAAAAGGCAAGAGAAAAATCCAACCTAACTCTGCAGAGGTGCTATTGCTAAGCATTTTACAGACCTACCAAAGCCATGTAAAGGCATGTAAAAAAAAAGTTTTAAGTCTTACCAACCACGGCAAGGAAATCTAATTAAAAAAGAACAAAACAGCAACATTGAAAACAGATTTTCTGCAGATTACAGTTCAGCTGGTTTACACAGAGAGAAAGATCATTATGTTCTGTTCTTTAAAGTGATCTGTGGTTAAACTGCGATTTCTGGAGAACCATGAAAAATCAAAGGATGGACTCAACTAAAATGCTTTGTAGCTGCCTGGCCACCTACAGGGAGCTGCCAAAATATTGGCATCAAGGTTTCTGTGTGCGTGTTTTTCTTAGTGCAAGTGCAAAATGTGGCACATAGATTTTTCTCACTGCCAGCAGAGCAAACAGAATAGATGAGACAGACACAAAATCCACCACTAGGTTATTGGCACTGTAACTAGGACAAGCAAGGAAAATATTTTGAAAAATTATCAGCATCCTGCCTTCCTGAAGGTTAGAGAGAAAAAAGCTATATTTCCTTGGAAGAAAAAAGAGGGTTAGATTTTTCTTACTGGAAAAAAGAAACTTTTGCTGCTTTATAAATGGCCTTGTGAGCATCCTCTTTCCAAACCAGCTATGCAAAACAGGAAGGAATTATAACTTTAAAAACATATGCCCCACTAACACCATCACATGCCCAACAGTAACAGCATTCAGCTGTCACCTCCCAGTCACCCACCCAAAATGAGCAGGGCTGCTGACTCTGAGGATGACAATGCCTGGCAATAATACATATGTTTAATATTGAAAAAAAAACATCTTTGTTTTATTTTTTGTTGCTTTCCTTTTTGTTTGTTTCATTCTCTCTCCACAACTGGATATTATTTTCCTCCCTCAATCCTTCCAGTGTGTTTTGTTTTCTTTCACTGCAAAAAAATAGTCCTTTTTTTCTAAAACATGAAACAGATCTCTAAGAATTTTCAACACATATATATATGTGACATATGACATATTTATGACAGAGAGAGATAAGAAAGAGGACTGGTAGGTGTTACTAGCATCTACCTCAGGCGTCTCCACACACTCGTACTGTGCCCATCAGTTTACTCTTATTCCATCAGTTTTTGAATACAGCAGATCCTGCTCTCTATAGAAAATGTCCTGTGTAATTTGTAGGGCTTCAGAGCAGTTCCTGTGGTTGCCTGCCTCCAAACTCGGCTGTGACAGGGGCTCTCCAGCTAAGGGCAACACTCCTAAAATTTGAACTAGAAGACTCAAGTGGTGCTCGAGACAGCCAGGTGTCAACCAAAACTGAAGATAAGGAGCCAAGGAGATTGCATTCTTTGGGCATCCTACTGAGTGTTCCCAACACTGCCTGCAAAGATATTCCCAAAGAGTCCAGTCTCAAGGGTTGTCAGGTCAGGGAGAGAGCCAGAACTGTGCACGTGCTTCAAAGTGTGGGGTAGAGAATACCAAGAATAAGGGAGGTCTTTCTGTTGTCCTAATTAGACTGATTTTTGGTAGTGTTTTCTAAAAGCTAGAACCATATGGGAAAGAAAGGAGAAGTAGGAGAATTTATATCCATTCAAAGACACCCATTCAAAAGCACTAATATTCTTCCTCTTAGAAGTGCTCTTTGATTTACGCATCCAACTTCCTAGTGAGATTCCAAAGTCTGCTCATTTCTATTCATTCTTCTTCACTCATCCCGCCCCTTAGCTGTTCTCCCTCTTCCTCTCCACCACTAACAACCATTTCCATTTCTCTCCTTATCCCCCACTGTGTGCTCTTCCTGCCAAAAATCTTGCCATTTAACAACAATGCCAAGCAAACAATTTTTTTAAAAGTTTAAAGCAATCCAGGATAATAAAACCATGACATTTAGCAGTATGGTTATTTGGATCAGGTTAGAACATATACTGAGTTTTACATGCAACTGAACTATTAAAACCAGCCAAAGTCAGCTGGTAAGCTATTCACCAAATGCACTTCCATCCTTCTAAGGCCTTTCCCACTTGCACCTTTTAGACCACATCCGACAGCCCAACCATTCCCCAGCCTGCACATTAACCCATTCTGATCCCACACACAGGGATGCTCAAAGGCCCTCCAGGCTCTGCTGAGGTCACTGGCAACATCCCATCAGATGTGTCTGTATTAGGAGCATTCCAGGCAAGGTCAGTGCTCGAGGGATGGGTGAGGAAAGCCCAGGGTGCAGCAGGCAGCAAGTCCATGCTCCCATGCTCACACTAAGGGGTAAGCATGTTTTCAGTTACAGAGACTTAGAGCTAAAACAAGCAGAACTGACTTCACCATAATTTCTCCACAGTCACGCTAACCTTTTAACCATACTACACTGTAATTAATTTAATGAAGAGAGAAAGGGTGGATTAGTGCATTTTTCAGATAGAAGGTAAAGCAGGTAATCTTCCTTAGTTACAATGTAAGCTAAGCCTATGCTCAGGACAAAACCTATTCACATATATCTATATCTGTATATATATACGCTCACACCTGTACATGTGTATTTTGACATATATGCTTATGTACATACACCAATATAGAATCACAGAATCACAGAATGCTTAAGGTTGGAAGGGACCTCAGAGGTCATCTAGTCCAACCCCTCTGCTCACACGGGGAATATAGGTACTTACAATTTCATACATACACATGTATGCACGTATTAAAAAAAGAAAAAAGCCTAAGAAAATTGATCTAAATCAATTTCTAAGTACTAAAACTTGATCTGCATTGTATGTTAATACACATGTTATTTCACCTAAAATTCCTTTTGAGTCTACATTCTTCCTTTGAGAACCTGCATTCTGCCCCTCCTAACTCGGGGTATGAAGCAGAGACGAAGCCGCACGCGTGCTCCTGCGGAGGACCAGGGATCTGCCTGCAGCTGCCCACTCAAGCATCAAGGAGCAGCCCGAGCTGGTTTGAAGCCAGGAGAGCCTGGCTCCTCTTCCAGCTGTCACAAGCTGCAATGTGTAAATGATGCCTTAGAAGGAAAAGGCATTTCAGAGGTAAGAAACAGAAATATCATCTATAATTTCAGGGTGGAGAACTTCACTTCTTAAACTGCTTTATGTTCCCTCCAGCTGGTGTAACCAGAGCCAAGACTAGAGTATGAGACTTCAGACTAGCAAACCATAATCTCTCCCCAATGGCTGCACACCCTCCTACACTGAGATGTAGTCCAATAATTTGCTTTTTTTCTTAACAAAACACATTTGATCATATGGGCCCTAATTCTCATATACATGTACTGTATTTCTGTGTAAGATGAGGACTGCTTCTCCGTGCTATGCACAAAACATTCAAATCAGAATAACCTTACTGCTACCAGAATATTACTATTAGAGTAACTCCTCCTAGTAGGATAACAATCTGTTTTTGCTACTACTTCTGATTCCCTTTTGTAGACCCTCCTATTCCTTAAATGGAAGGATAAAATAAGTTTGCATGTGGCCTGTCTGAATGCCACCATCCCAGCTCCTCTAGTTTAAAGATGGTATTGGACCTTATAACTTAGTTTGAGGAGTTAAAGTCCTACATCAGTTAATACACTGGACTCACAACCTACCTACTCCATAGGTGTATCAAAAGAGGTTCATCTTGGACATAATTGTAACTGGCATGATCTTTTGCCAAGCTATGATGTAAAATCAATGACTTCCACTTTTTTTTTTTTCATCTCCTAAAGAAACTGCCTTGTGTATATTAGGCATTACAGTAGAGATGAATAGCTTTTTGGAAGTCAAAATGATTAATGATTTCTTACCTACACCCGACAGCACATGATCTTCGTTCTCCTTAGAAGGAACCACAGACTCTCTGAAAGGCTAGGAAAAGGCAAGTTGAGTTAGCTCTTTAAAGACAAATGACAAAACATGAGCCATTTTAATAAACACAATAGATAGCACCCCTTCCAGCCTCTACAAAAGACACAAATATGAATCATAACATTTACACTACAGGCTCAAACTCTAATCATACTCAATGAAGAGAAGTCCAACCTAAACTATATCCCACTTGCCTTGCAAAGTTCAGCCCTCAGTTAAGTTCTTGCCATACAAGTTTAGCTGTGATGTGACCAGTTAACACAGTGCTTTGGACAAAATAAAGCAATGAAATTTTAAGAGAGCTTTTTTTCTATTACCCGAGTTGTCCACCTGTAGAAATACCACATATCAGTTTGTTCTTTTAAGGATAGAAGTATGGCCTTTATTGCCTCCTTAACACAGAGACAGTCAACATGGTACTTAGAACTCCAGCAGGATTTATGAGCTGTCACATTTTTTTTTCAACAAAGACTCCAAAAAGCATATAGAAACACACATGCTGCTGTAATAAAATTTGAGATGACACAGACTGTAACATCTGAATTTCAAAGAATTAATCTTACGCACAGCTGCCAATCAAAAAAAAATCCTAAGAGGTTATTCTTTCATAACAAGCGGCAATACAATAAAATTCTTCAAAATCCAAATGCTGCTAAAAATTGATAGGCATATCTTATGGAGAAGATACTACCTTACCAGATTTGCCTGCTGTTTCTCTCAGCCTAAATCACTATTTTGGCTTCATACCAGCTGAGCTAATAACAAAGCTCCTTTTTTAAAGCTTGATAAAAATATGACTAAGACACTGATTTTCTGATTACACAACCAGATAAATAGAAATAAATAGCAAAATATAAAAATAGGAAACAAATACAGCTGACTAACCACAGTGGGATTTTTCACAAATATTGTTCCTCTCAAAAAGTTGTTATGTAACTCCATGTCAAAGAGTATCTGAAAGATAACAGGAACTGCCTACATTTTACATACAGCATTTTTCCCAGTCAGTCCCCAAGCAGTTTTGACAGGCCTGCATCTGAGAAATGAACCAGGTATGGAGTCACAATTACCCAAAAGATCCCGGTCAAGGACCAACTTGTTGTCATCCTTAAGATAAGGCTGCACATACAGGAGATGGGGTTTGCTCCTGACATGCTTGAAGCTGAGCTCTGCACTCCCTGAGAGAACTAAGGATCACCACAAATGCAGGAGCTTTCCGGGCCAAAAGTAGATTCCTTTTTGACCTAGTTTTCCGGCCCACAACCACGTAACAGGTTCCTTCAAATAATAACCTACACACGTAACTATTCCCGCAGGATAGGAAGGGGCAGGAAACGTCACTTGGCAGGCATTTGTTGCCTTATTTATTTGTTAGCCCTAGGAGGTGCTCAGCTGGCCTAGCAGAGGTTGCCGTCTCAAAACTTAAGCTACTTGTATTAGGAGAAATCTGTACCTTCACATCATCCTGGGACAATTCATCAGATGCCAAGTTCGCAGGACCTGTAAAAGCAAAGAGCCCTTTAAACAATAAACAAACTCAGTTTGTGCCGCCGATCCCTCTGCTTTTCCAACTGGGAGGGGGAAGCAGTGCGCAAACAAACATGCGGCCAGGGCAGAACAATGGCCCTTTGCAGCCCCTGCACGGCCCCAGAGCGGCATTCCCGTGGGCACGGCGCACGCGGGATGCACAACAAGGGCTATGGAACTGTCATGGGCCAGTTATGAACAGGCTATTGAAATTAAAGGCACAGGCTAGGAAAAATGGGAGCCGTGAGCTAGCTTCTGATTAACCCCAAAGTGACACAAAGACCCCGAGTTCTGAATCTATGCCCCCCAAAAGCTGCATTGGGCACTTTTTTCCTGAAAAGTTTCTGTACTTTTTTTAATTTAGACCTTGGATTTTCACAGAAATTTCACATTAAAAAAAAAATACACACACACACACATATAGATATATATCACACTTTTATGGCTTACTCTCCAGACCATAGGAAAGGTCAGAATATACATAAAAACACAACCACATTTGGCAGGTTTATCCCAAACCCAGCCTCCGGCACTACTGTGGAGCAGCAAAGGGGAGTAATCCAGTTACTGGAATGAAAATGAACACCAGTGTCCCAGGGCTCCAGGGGCCTTATTATTTAGTAAATATAGTTTAAATCATAATTATTATGTAACCACAGTCATGCTGGTAAATATGATTCTTTTTATACTGAATATTTGAGTTCAAGGTCTGTTCTCAGGTACAGAGATGCCTCTCCTTGCTTGGCTGATTCAGCAGCTGCTAGCATGCCTTTGGGGAACTGCCTGCAGGAACAGCAGCTCTTTGAGGGCCTCTTTGCACAAAGTCTAATAAAATGCTTTAACAACACGTCTTTGGAGGAATAATTCAAAGACAACTGTCTATCCCCTAAATCACACAAGCTCCAGCAATCGTGATAACCAGCAGTACCTCTGGGCGCTGGCTGGAGCTAGGACTGCAAAGGACTAGGTCTATGCTAATCAATATCTGAACATCTGGTTCATTTTTAATTAATTCACCTTCCTTAATTAACATTCCACCACAAGCTACCACTCCAGCACTCGCTGTTGCACTTGAGGTGGGTTATGTGAGGGCAAGTGGCAGGTCCAGGCTACCAGGCACCTCTGTGCATGGGCTCCTCTCTGCCTACCACGCCACTGAGATAACCAAGAGACACACAGACACACAGGTCTCCTGGTGCCAGGAGACACACAGGTCTCATAGAGGCAAAGTAACGGGGAGAATAATGCCTACCTGTAAAACTGGGGCCTCTAGGATGGCAGCAAAGGGGCTTGCAGGGTCCAACAGCCTTCAAGCCCAAAAGGTGCCCTGGACTGGCAGAAAGTCTACAAGTCAAGCTGGTTTTTTGGGTTTTTTTGTTTGTTTTAAAAAAAACATAGTAAGCACAATCCCAAAGGCCAAATTTTACTTAAATTACTTAGACTCATCACTGCTGCCATCAGATAAATCACGCCAGGCACCACTCTTCAGTAAGAAGGAAGAGCCGACTTCTGTGACTGTTGCCCAAGAAAGGGACCTTAAGAACCTCAGGGGGAGATTTCTGACCGCTCACTTCAAGGAAATGAATTTCCAGGTTCCTCTTTCTGTGGTATTGACATGTAGCTGGCAATATTGCTACTCAGGTTAACAGCTCTTAAAAGCTGTTTTGTCTATAACAGTTATTCTACAGAAGCAAAAGGCTTATAGCTCCAGATAACTGTATTCAGCCAAATTACAGGCATGGAATTCCAAGGTCAGAAAACAGAAAAGGGCAGAAACTACTAAACTAACCAAACTCTATTTCACCTTTGTTCTGTATCCTTAGTGGATACAGCATCGTTCTGTGTATTTGAATTATAATTAAGTTGCCAGGGAGACCCACTGCTAAGCTGGGTCACCTTACACCGACCCGCTGCTCCCGTGCGATCGCCTTTCCCAACACGGGACACTGCTATAGCAACCTGGGGCAGGTAATATCTCGGAGCTTCGGGGAGCAGTGCACTTTAAAGGTCTGTTGGCCTTGACTTCAGGCCACCCAGAAGTAAGTATTACTTACTAGATCAGCAGCTGTTTGAAAATTTAAGAGGGATGCACTTATGACACTAATGCACCAAATTAATGCCCTGAGCTTAGGAGCTAATTTGTAAAGGATTTTCATTGAATACACCTGAGAACACGATCCAGAAGTACTCTGTTAATCATTTCATATGATTCCTGCTTGTAGCAACAGCAATTTAAACTAAAGCTACTCAATGTTTGTTGATGACAGCTTAAGACAGACCAATGGTCATCTGTGATATTAATGATTTATCAATATCTGGTTTTGGTGGTGGTGAGTAAAAAAGGCAATATAAACGTTCAGTAGACATGGAAGCAATACAGACACCAAAGGCAATATGAAAACATGGGAAGATCAAAAAAATTTACTGCTTCTCAATGTAAAAACAATAGTTGAGGGTTCCTCATGATCACAGATAGATAAAAGAATGAATATCTGCAAGTTCAATTATTGCAACTTCCTTATTCAAATCTTGGATCCTGTCAAAATGTTGCATACTCTTCCTGCCATCGACTTGAAGTAAGACTGCTTTTTTCTTTATATCAGGCACACCAGAATTCAGAATGAGACAAGATAAGCTAAAACTGCAAATCCTGCAGGATCAATATCTTTGGTATTCATTATTTACTTGCCCCAAGTCAGTCCAAATTAAAAATGCCTAAGGCAAAGCACGACACTAATTATCACCTACAAACTTCAATATGTGTGGCAGTAGCTCAGGCTACTGCTACTCATAGCTACCAGTCCATACATAGTATTCCCAGCCCATACCATTCCATCAGTGAAGAACCACATGAAGATGACGTTGGCCAGACTAAAACACTCAGAGGAATATCCAGAACCAACCTGTACACATTATGTCAATCAGATACCTTGTACACTTAAAATAATGGGTTCATAGTTTGCAAATTCTAATAGCTCTTCATCATCTCTCTGTAAATTTACATTCTGTTGGCATTAGACTTGCTGCCTGTACACTGCTAGAGAATTTCTAACACTAAACACAATCACTGTTTCCCCAGTGTTATCACTCATTTAAGTTTACTAGCTGATGTCACTTGGAATTGTAGTCCAATATTTTTTTTCTCAGTCTGGTCTTGATCTTATAAAAAGACTTATATAGGTGCCTACAGTTGTGTTGATTTCAGTAGAATTGCTTCCAACACAGAAAGTTTACAGGATTTAAGCCTTCTCACAGAATTAATCATTCTCATCTAGTCACTTCATCCAAATATACAACACTAGCCATATAAACAAATGCCAAACTGATTTTAAAAAAAAAAAATTCCTGACAATCATATGGAAATCATAGAGTCATAATGGTTGAAAAACACCTTCAAGATCAAGTCCCACCGCAAACGCATCACCACCATGCCTGCTAAACTATCTCCCCAAGTGCCTCATCTACATGGGACAGGGACTCCACCACTTCCCTGGGCCACCAGTTCAATGCTTCACTCTTTCCCGGTCTGCCAGGAGACTGCTGCAGTTCTCCGTTCCCTGGTCCTGCCAGCAGTGAGGCTGGGTATTTGCTTCCAAGAGACACACACATACACACTCTGTAGTGACATGGTAATCCACCAAAATAATCAACTTAGAAAGGACACAGTACTTTTATAGGCACCACAGAGCACATCCAAGCACCACACTTTTGATGCTCAGGGGTTTCTCTTTTTGTGATTTTCTTTTCAACTTGAAGAGATTCTTGCTCTACAGCTGTAAGGCTGTATCTTCGTAGAGAAAAATCATGACAGTCCCATCAGAAAGCCCAGTCCCACAATCCTTATAAACTACTCACCAAAATATTCAATGTCTAGTTGAAATATCCAGGAATTTCACCACAATTAAGTAGGCTGGGCTAGATCCCAAACCTATTCACACAAGACTTTATTCTATTTAATCTGCTCTTATCTTTAGTAAGTTGATTTAGTTGGTTGTACTGAAATTTGCTGGCTGGAGTGTTAGTTCAACTAAACACTGCCCTCTCCTGGAACTTACTGACATTTTTCCGATTCCTACAATAAAATTTGAACTTTTTTTTCCAATCACTGTAAATTCCATAATGTTTTGCGAGCAATTCAGATTTGACATTGGAAAATTGATGCCCTGTAGGGAGCTTCATGATTTACACAACTCTTACAGTGCTTGACATGAGTATTCCACTGTCAGGTCTCTAATGTCATATGAACTATGTGATCTCCCTGAATAAATAAATAAATGGTTTAAGAATTTGTGCCAACTTTCCAGAGCTTTTAAAGACTGTAACATTATGGAATAAAAAACTGTACCTTCTACAGAGCTTGTTGTACTGCAGGGCATTTTTGGACCTTCCACTGTCTCAATTCGGTTTGAATTAATACTCTATAAAAAAATCAAAACAACAGTAATTGTATTGGATACTCATGACATTTAATTTCATTTTTGAGTTATCACATAAAGATTAGCACACAAATATGAGTAATATTAAAAGGACTAAAAGGGATTCCTCAGAGTATCAGTTTCTCCTAAGAGGAAAAAACAGTATTTCCAAGTATAGACAGAAATTATCCTCTGCTTACGATACATAAGGTCGTCTTAATAATCAGAATTAGTACTTGTACTGTTTAGCACTGTTTATAACTTTCTCCTCTATGAAAAAACAAACACGGGAGTTACGAAGAACAGGTCTGTTCAAAACTCTTCTAGTTAACCTTGAAAGCATCCCTCCAAAGTCAGCATGTTTTAGGGAAAAGGAAACAGAAAGGAGCCTCCGCGAGGCCTCGGTCCTGACACGGTGGTGGAGGCCGCCTGGAAGGCAGGAGCGTGGCCACCACAGCACCCGCTCCCGGGCTGGGCTGGCCCCGCCATCTCCTGCTCTGCTGCCTCTCCACATTCAATTCCCATTACAACAGAATGGGAAGGGCAAATCCTGGTCCTTATAATAGCAATTACCCTCAAAATATATAAGAAAACAAGGCAGGAAAGAGAATGCCTCCTGTTATTCTTTTACTTTTTTCCTTCTACAGTTAGGTTTCTTGTTTATCTAACAAAGCAGCATACAGAGAAGAGTTAATATGAGTATGAAAGTACAAGGCCGGGAAAAAGTGGTCTGAATTTTGTGGACAAATTGCTCGGAATTATTTGGAAAGTTTCATAGTCATCAAGCTGAATTCATCTCCTTAGGAAATTATCTCTCTATACTAGGGGAAAAAAATCTAATATTTTCTAAACACCAACACAATTGTAATCATTTTAGGTGACTGTCCTGATGAACAGTTTGCCCTATCGTTTGGTCTGGGTTTGCTTTTTATGCTGCCACCATTTCACACTTGGCCTTTGGTCTCTGGATAGCCTTTGGTCTCTGGATAGCTCCTTTCACAGAAGATCTTTCCCCTGCACTGGCTGCACGACCTCCAGCAACCAACACGGCCAAACGTGTCCCTTTTGCTAGCTCACGCCAGCAAGGTCATTAAGAATGGGATAATTCAGAAAGAATAATTCTTTCTCAGCCTTCAGACATCTCTTCTCTGTACTGCCTAGCAAGCTCACCAAATCCATGGATTTGACCTTTTTGGACTTGCAGGATCCCCCTAAGGTGGGGCTAACTCAGGCTTCCTGACACTATTGCTTGTTGTAAATTTTTGGTTATTTTTTTAGGCTTGTAAGGAATAGTCCGGGGACTGACAGGAACCCATGGACCAGACCCTGAAAAATATGCACTAGAAAGGCTTGCATTTTCTCAAGTAAATAGTTGGTGCTGTTGCCTAAGCTATTTCATATACAAAAATCCACCGCCTCCTATCACACCTGAAGCAAGCTCTTACTTTTTAGTCCATGTCATTGTCTGACCCAAACCTAAAATAGCAATGTGGTCATTTATATGGTATGAAAATAGAATACAATAGTTATATTGACTTAATTCATTGTAGGTGAGTTGAATATTCCTGCATAGCAACAAATTCCATTCCTATTTTTAAGACTACATATTTTGAAATCTGTAATGCCCACCTTATGCTTTGGATCCAACTAAGAGCTGAAAGTCCTTATTTGCAACAGGAAGAACAGGAATTTTACCTTACCATTTGCCTTACCATAATATATTCCATCTAAATATAACAGTTTGATTATCCCTTGTCCCAGGATGACTTCTGCTTCATAGGAAATTAAGTAAACCATGTGATCTTTATTACTCTGGCTTATTTCTACTAAGTGTTAATACTCTAGATGAAAGTAGTGCAACACTGATACTGAGAGGGGTGCGTGCAAAGGAGGATCTAGACTGCAGCAACTACAGCAATGAGCAGAAGAGAAACCCACAATCGAGCAAAGAGAAACTCACAAAGGCTGCTTTTGCAACCTTTAAGTGTATTTGTCCCTCTAAACCATACAAACATCTAACATAACCTTCCTTTTTCCCCACTTTCAAAGGCTACAAGAAGAACAAAGATTGGATGAGAAGAAGAAAAAAAATGATATAAATAAAATGCATTCTTCATTTTAGTTTTGATTTTCTATTGGATTTGCTATCAGATTCACGGAAAAGCTGCAATTTGGAGCCATTCTACAGGCCACAAATAAATAACAACTTTTTTATATTGGAAGAACTAAAAACCTTGTGGGTGACCGTACAAGATTGTATGCACTTATATGAGAAATCACACTTCTTTTTCTGTTAAATGCACCATAATGCATAGGTTATATTTTACGTTTTAAAAATTATGCATTTAAGACAACTCAAAGAATATTAATATGCAAATAAGGAATCCTGAAATAAATCATGGAAAATAAAAGCTAAAATTTAAGACTAGAAAAGGAAAAAGCCAAAGCACTTTTTTCTGTATTTTTAGCTCACCAGTTTTATTCAATCCATCACTCTCAATCCAAAAATGAAATTGAGTATCTGTATAGTTTTTTAAAAAAACCTTTAGTTTTCTATTATTATCCTCTTAAATCACCTGAAGGATATCAAAGTAGTTTTCCAGACACTGTACAACCAATTAAGACCTAGTACACCATAACTAAATTTCTCTATGGTAAAAAAAGTCTTTCAAGCCTGCATTTCTGCTACATATGACACACTGGTTAGCTCAGGTCCATGAGAGAAGCTCTCAGGAATTACAGCAATATGAAGCAGAATGGAATTAAAGTAAATATTTAAAACTGTGAACATGAATATAACTGACAAGTGAATCTCAGAGGCAGAGATGCCAGGGGAAAATATTCAGCGTAGAGTCCAAAATGATTCAAAAACAAATTGGGAGGTGAAGGAGAAGTTGCTAAAATGCTCAGCATACCTTATCCTCCAGCTTCAGACATACAATTAGCTGTATTAACCCAAAGTTGAAGCCCACAACCATAATCCTTCATGACAGTAACTGTTACTGAAATGGGTGTAGTTTAAACTAAAAGGCTATTTAAGAAAAACATGTCCAGCTTGAAGAGTCCCTAGCTGGAAACTAGCGAATAAAACACCCCGTGTCAGCGTGCTGAGCTAGACGGGTACGCACCTTGTAAAGGAGAGGTCTGTCCCAGAAGTATTTTCTGAAGAGTTTAATGTCCGACTCCAAGAAGTGCTCTGCGGTGTGGTTAAATGTCAGTGTCAGAGTTCCTGATGAATGAACAAACCGTACGCACGCACCCTCACTGAGCTCAGCTCTCGAAATGTCAGCCGAGCCACTGCCCTGGGAACTGAAACAACACGCTCTTTAAATCAAAACAGATGCTGGGCGCGCAGGTAGCATGAGAACACAAACAGAGCGCGCCTCCGGCCCGCCGGCCGCACGGGCCTGCCGCCGCAGAACGCGCTCGCTGCACAAACCGGGGCAGAAAATCCCAACCATCCACCCCGAGCACAGCTGGGCAAACAAATACTCACCAATGGCTCCATTCAGGCCTAAGAAAATTCTGCTACTTGTACGTGTCAGCAGGGAAGAAACAATAACTGCGCCAGAAACGCAGTTACTGGCTAGTAAAATATGCCAGTAACAACAGGGCTTAACAATACCTATTTCTCCGTATTGCTGTAAATTAGCAATAGTGCCTTTTCCTGTTAATGTTGCCATATATAGGAGTGAGACGTAACCAGCAGCAAGAGAGCAGGTTTATTATCCCGCTACAGTGAAAAGCGGAAAGTATCTCAAGGGAATTGGGCATTGTTTGGATGTTACAAACAAATGAGACATTCATAACATAATGTACTCTACCAGCGCTCCCAGTAATTTTCTCAGACGAACCGAAGTTCGAGTAATTCCCGCCTAAGCGATAGGTCGCACAGAGCCAGAACCCAAGGAGTCACATTCCCGAATAAAAATGTAACGGGATTCTTGGATATTTTTCTCTCTTTGCAAGGAAACGCCACCAGTGAGGAGAGGCTTCTGATGCTGAACACGTGGTACCGCAAGACACCCAGGGGCAATGCAGCTCCTCAGGTCCATGCGGATGCGACCTTGGACAGCTGACACATGCCAGAAGGCACTGGTCCTTCCAGGCACTTGTCAGCGTGGCAGCTCTGGCAAAAACAGACCGGAGCAGCAGGGCTGGGTTTGCTACCGACTCGGCCTTATTCATTCAAACCTGAGATTGTCCAGGGGTCACAGAGCCATCCGAGGTCTTTGTGAAACCCAAGTCCTGTGTTTCTGTTTATACTCATACAGAGAGGGAGATATATTTTAAGAGACGTATGCACTTGTTAGCAACAGGTCTGGATGCAGCTGCAATAACACCCTTGTGAGAGGTACCCAATGGCACAGCTTATCCCTATCCTCCTCAATGAGAACAAGTTGTGCCGGGTAACAGAGTCTCCGGTGCCCTCCCCTGCTACTAAATGCTCTCTGGTTATTTACATGTTAGAGCACTGCCACAAAACCCTTCAGCTTTTCATCACTTAAACCATTTATTAAACTTTGCATTATTTATAAGTTTTTATTTGCATTTTCAAAACTAGGGCAATACAGAGAGATGACTTGGTTTCCCTTTGGAAGATGGGCGTTTTTCTTTCTCACCTCCATGTACAAGCTGAGGCAATGTCACAGCACCAAGACATAACACTACCATTTGAACTGATTTGAAAAGGCCAGCTGCATTTTTAAAAAACAGCTGCTATTTTAGGATACACTTCTTATCATTCAGATTTAATAAAAAAGCACATTTTTAAGAAGAAATAACGTCACACATCTTGTCCCACTCTATTAATTTTGCACTGTTATTAAGAGCAGTAACTCTAAACACACAAAGGGTGCCACTCAAAGACAGATGATAGTCTCTTCAGATAAGTGAAGTCTGAACAGCAACAATGAAGTCACTAACAATTCCAGGAATATGACTATTGTTATTTAATAATTCCCTTTTAGCAGACTCATAAATCTAAAATTATGAAATATTAAAATACAATATCTTAATGTACAAATTAATTTTAGACACCATCTATTATTCAATTTAAAGGGAAATATAAAATAATTAAATTATAATGATAATAAGAAGAAACAGAAACCAACATAAAATTGGCTTTTCGCAAAGGAAAGCCACATATTCCTTAACAGGCAGCAGTTTTTCAGAGAGAGAAGAGCAATATACTCACTTTGTGAAGACCTCAACAAGCCCAGAGTGCCCATTTTGTAAAGCCAGATCTAGTGGTGTTGCTCCATCTTCATTAGGTAGTGCTAATGCCAACGACCCACCAGGCTGGGCTACTAAGAACTGGGAAAGTTTAACCAATCCCAATTTCATGGCAAGGTGAAGTAGAGTTTCTTTGTGTTCAGGTTCTGAAAAACAAAACAAACAAAAAGATAGAAACAAAATCCAGCCCCTTCCCACTGATTTGCTAGTAAGCATCAAATGAAACTCGTCTGCAGAAATGCCACAACTCAGGCTCCATCTTACAAAGATAATAAGGCAGAATTCTTCTTTCACTGAATGAATTACACCGTTAATGGCATATGTACAGCTAATTTCACAAGTTAAACATTTTGAAATAGATATTTCAGTATTTCCTCTGTACGTACGTATATTTCTCTGTACTGGTACAAGGGATATCCCAATATACGATAAAAGATCAGTAAGAAATAATTATCCAGTTGCTTCGCATTGCACATCTGTCAGCAGGTCTGGGTATTTGTGGGGCTTTTGCTTGTTTGTTTGTTTGCTTAAGGTGTGTGATTTATCAAGGAAGGCTGCTTAACAGCACGGTAAAAGATCCTTAGTGATAAGCCACCAGTTAACAAGTATAAAATGCACATGATGATTCTTTTGCTTCTCTTTTCAAAGAAATTGGTTTCACCTACCAATTTTTCCTCTCCACTTTTTAACCACATTATCAAGTTCAACAGGGCTGAAACTTAAAATAAAGCTGCAGACACCATGGAATAAGGCATGAGATGCTGATACTGATGAAGGCTTTCACCTTTTCCACCTTTTATTCAAAGAAAGGTCTGCCTATCTGCATATATGTTTTTTTTCCAGACACAAAGCCCATGCAGTTTAATGGCAACTGAGGAAATGGAGCTCAAGTGTTCAACATGTTCTTTACAAGGATATTTTGTTACGAAGTGAAATATAAGGGTAGACAAGAGCTAAAAAATACATTCTTTTCAGAACCTTTCATGCATTTGGCAAAAGAATTATGTAGTTATATACAAATACCGTGGCTCATAGCTGATTCTGAATCCCACTTCATCACCAGCACATCACTAGTCCCCTATTCAATTTAAGTACTCCCTCTGAAAATGTTAGGAAAGTTTATTTCCTAGAATAATTGAAAAAGAGTTTGAAGAGACCTCAAGAGGTCTTAGGGCAGGATGAGCTCAAATTATTCCTGACAAATGTTTGTCCAACCTGTCCTATAAAACCTTTCAATTACAAAAGGTTTTCATACCTTCTGCAGACAATCTGTAAGGTGAATTTACTCATACAGTTAGAAAGATTTGAAAAGTCTAACCTAGCTCACCCTTTCTCAATATGAGCTTGCTGCTTCTTGGTCCATCCAAAATGGACTTGAAAATCAGTTCCTTCCTTTCATGTAATTGAGGGCTGCTATCATATCTCAACTGAGCCTTTTCCTTTCTAGGCATCTATATGCCTAAAAAAGCTGGACTTGTCTAGAGTATCTTCTCATATCCAAAAACATTAATATCTTTTCATAATGTTGGATTTCAAGTATTACAGTAAAAAACTCTGTATTTCTGTATCTCATAAAGATGTTAGAATGGCAAGGAAGGCTACAAAAAGCCTAAGGAACTTGCTTTAGCTCTTCATAGGGAAAATTATTGAGGGAACTCTGCTGAGACCAGTTTTTGCCCTGGTTATTGGATGGCAACACATGAAGTTTTTACCTTTAAGCTAACGTACAATCAAAACATTCAGATACAGCCAATTCACAGAAAGAAAGGTCAGGCCTCCTGCATAACATATGGATAAAATTCATGCTTCTTGAACCTTTGATTTTTGTTTTCAAATCATAAAACAATTTCTAGATATTTGATCCATAAAATGGATCATACAGAATCTTGCCCTGTAACAGATGACAAACACACAAAAGTATGTAGTGTCTAAAACTTTTCTTTCACTATAGTGAAATAAACAAAAAATCTCCAACCTTGTCTCTTGTTTGTGACTAGCTGGCATGTAATTTGGTGCATTTGCTTGTCTGGGCAATGCTTGTTACTCCCCCAAGGCTGTAGGAAATAAAATTGGTTCTTGATCTCCCCATTTCAGACTCCAGACAAAAAAATGTGCTCAGCTGAGCACAGGATCTGCTGCAGGATCTTAGGCCACAGGAGGACGTACTTACATCTATTTTTCTCTCAAAAGTCTACAAAATATTCCAAATTTAGCCTTTGCAGATACTGATAATTGGTGCATTTTAGCTACTAACATTACAAGTAGGAATTACAGTACTCCCCTTTGTATATGACACACATCACCTAATACTGTAATTGCAGTTTTCAAGTGCACACTACCTTCAAGTCTACTGCAACCAGCTCAAGCATATGCAGAACTGCTTTGCTAAACAGTGCTTTGCACAACTGTTCCGATATGTATGGTTAAGTCAATATACAGTTTTTTACTGCCTTGTGGCCCAAACTTATAAGCAATATGTACGTCTGGGCTGAAATGCACAGTAGATGTTGGTTAAAATAATTGTACTTTTTTCCACAATAGTTTTCCACAAAAAGAATGTGGTTTTAAAAATAACACAACACTAAATTAATACTCTGTTGTCTTAAAGCACAAGCTACAATAATATCTTCTGTTACCTCTCCACAAAATTCTGGCAATTATTTTTTTTTTCTCTCATTAAGACATAAACGTATACCTTTGCCTTTAAAGTCTGTGCTATGAACACAAAACAGAAATTTTCTGGGTCCTACTGTCAAGATCACGCCTTCCATAGGTAACAGAGCAGGGAAACTCTTTTATAAGATGATCAAGTTGAAAATTACCCAGACATTTTCACTGCCAGGACTCTAATGGAAAGGTTGCAGCAGAATTACAACACTCCAACTTATTAATTTGCCTCTCGCTCCAGCCTGAACTTGCTGATGGGCAGTTTAAGTATATATGTCAGCAGGGCTATGGGGGCAGCTCAATCAGCTCTCTTCATGGAGTTAAGTTAGAAACAGCACTCAGACCCTCTCAGCCTTAATTTCTACAAACTAAGTGTCTGCAAGGTGATGGTCCTCTTGTCACCCCTGTCTGAGCTGCTCGGGAGTGACCAGATGCTGATGATGTAGAAAGCCACCTCTAGTATCTTGTTTTGCATTAAAAACTGAAAAACAAATACTGAAATTTAAAAGATCGCTGGACAGATCAACCTATCTTTAACCCAAGAAGAACATTTTGCATCACAAGGATGGCTGCATACAAGGAAAAGGTGGTTGCAGAGTCTCCCTCCTTGGAGATACTCAAAACCTGACCGTGAGCAACCTGATCCAATTTTGATGCTGCCCCTGTTCTGCACAGTGGACAAGGCCAAGCACTTTGGGGATCCCTTCTTCCAACCATGCTGCTGTTCCACCACAGAATTTTATAATTCTATCCCATGATTAACAATATCAAAGCAAAAAGTACCAAGACATGCAGATCGGTAACAAGCCTTCTAAGTAGGCCTGCCTAAACAGAAGAGATTTGCACTGAAGTAGTAAAATTTTGAAGTAACTTTCTAAACATTTTAAAGAGGTGTTTTCAGTTTCAATTCTTCTTCCTTTCACTTCCTCCTTTCTAGCTCTTCAATGTGACTTAACAAATGGCATTTTTCACCTTTTTAATCTTTATTTCCCCTTCCTGTGAAAATGGATTTCCAATGCAAAAAAAAAAAAAAGGCAAAAAAAGTCAAGACAGAAAAAGAGATATTGAGAAAAAATAAAGAACATAATTTGTTCAAAGGTATTCAGCAACAAAAAGGAGGAAAATCAGGAAAAAAAATATTAAGAATATAAAACTTCTGCAACATTTTCATATTTAAATGGATAAAACACGATTTTCCATCAAGACACAGCAATAAAAATTCCTAAGATTTGACAGATGCTCTGCTGGCTGATTAACATGGGTTTGGATACTGCAAGGCAGGTGGTGCTATGAGAGATGCACTATCGGAACGTTGTTTTGCATTGCATCCCGATTACGCAGCCAAAACGCTCCGAGTTATACCACACTAAGCCAAACAGAGTCTGTTTTAAACATTAAATAAATCCTTTTGTTCTTCCTTGCACCTGAACTCCTTCCTACATCCAAAACAATACAACAAAAACAAATATTTCTCTCTGACAGAAATGACTAAGTCCTTTCTGGGCTATGGATCTCATTTCCTGGAAGGAGACTAAAACCTCAAGACTTGAAGAGAGGAGGGAGCCACTACAACAGGCTGACAAAATTCCAGTTTTTCCTGGCTTCTTAATTTTATGCATTATCATTCTTTTTTTTTTTCATTTTCCATTAGGAAAGAGGTTGTTTATAAAGTGGACTTCAGCGCACTTTTGCAGTCACTGCAAAAACATACATATGTGCCTGATTGGCAATGCAAGTGGGTTTGTGAACCCCAACACAAAGGTTGTGCAGTGCGACACATGTGTGTGTCCAGCTCCGAGCCTGCCGAGCCCAGAGACGGAGGAGATGGATACAGAGCCAAGCACAGGCAGGTGGCTTCCAGGAGAAGACCGTTTCCAGGCTCAGAGAAGCTGTGTTGTCACTCTCAAATTAGCCTTTAGCTTGGTCATCCTAGACCATGAGTTGCCATGGGACTGATGTAAACTGAGGTGAATAAAAACTGAAGCAGAGGTGAAGGAGGCAAGGGGGAAAGCTAAAACACTGTTTTAAAGGTAGACTTTAAGAAGTCTTGGAACTGCAGTTTTACCAGCAGCACCATGGATCAGGCCTGCGTGGTAAGGGCTGTACATGGTAACCTCATCTACTCAACTGATGAGGTTTCAGCTGCGCTTCCTGCTTGGGCGAACGCGGCGAAGACGTGAAACTACACACGAAATCACTGCTGTCAGCAGAGGGCTATTTCCCTTCCATTTGTACTGCAGCTCTCCCTCAGGCTGTTTATCTTACGTTTGTTTATCAAGTGCTCCTGGCGTGCTTAACACAAGGCAGCAGCCATCTCAAAGCCAGGTGCAGGGAAGGCCACAACCACGTTCAGTGCCACGTGTCTAACAGCGCCCAAAACCAAGGAGGGTCAACAGTGCTCTTAAGCCACTGTCTAGGTACGGACTTAAATATTTGTCTGTAGCATCACTTACAACACTTTGTCTACCATCGCTTGCCT